GTAAATAACTCAAGATTTTACTATGATAACCGTAGTTTGACTTCTAAACAAACGTTTTCAACGCGAAATTTCCGGTATATGGGTATAACTAAATATCGAATATAAAGTAAATTAAAATCTGCACTTAATCTCTTTCAATTCAGTGATCGACATAACCTGTTACAGATTCAGTACGTGCGAACTTTGTAGCCAATTAGACTAATTGCTTGCGTTATTTAAAAATTGGTGACTATAATGAGGGTTTATTCTTAATAAAATTATTAAAAAATCAAATATTAATGGTGATAGTGATTATAAGCGATTTGTGACTATAATGAGGTTTTTTTACTATGTTTGAGTCCGTCGCACAAAATCGGGTGCTTAAATAGAGGTGTGACTATATGGGGTGTGACTATAGGGAGGTCCGACTGTATAGTGCATTAGTATTGAATGTTGATAATTACCATAATATTCATACTAAACGGATGCCTAATACTTGTTCAACGTCAACCATGGCTTATATGACGACCTTGCTATTAAATCATATTAATATAACAGCTATTCCACAAATGGCATTAAATAATGCATCAATCCATAATCTAAAACTAATTGATTTTGAACTTATTTGTAATACTTTAGGTTATTTTTATATGGAACAGATGGCTAAAACTTCCAACAATTAGTTTTATTATAAAATATCCTTGGATAAAAAACTTGAAAATTTGTTACTTCATGACTACAATGCTCATATAACTAAACAGCAAGAAGAATGTAAAATGAAAAACATGATCCTTTTGGACTTTTTTGAGTTAAAGCTTGAAGATGTGGCTTCGTATATTAGTGCTTTACAACATGTTTATGAAAATCCTTTATTAAATAATTATTTGACTAATTTTGTTATTCTTGTTATAGCTGATTGGCCTAGGCAGGTGTTTATATGACAGGCAATCATGCTTTATTTGCAAAACCATAGGGGCATTAATATACCAAATAACGTTTTGTTATTTATACCAGTTATTGGCATTCTACACATCTAGCTGAACTACTCGAGTCGATATTAAAGATATATTAGAGATTTTTTAACATGGAATATAAGTATATTTTTAGTACGGTAAAAGATCTCAGTCAAACTCCAAGTCTATATCGAACCTTTTTACTTCTCGAGTTAGTTAGAAGTGTATAGAAAAATATTAAATCAATAATAATGGGTAAGTTTAGTAAGTGTTGTAGAGACATTGAATACTTAGATCTTTTTGATTTATTAGACAACACAGTACCAGCAGTGTTGGATATATATTTGATTCTATTCCATTCAGGTGATTGGGAATCATACGTCGAAGGTGTATTACATGCTTGGTGTATTTTTTTGTGCTTTGAGACATAATTATAATAAAGTGACTTTAGTATTTCTCTCAGATATATTTTATTGAAGTCAGATTAATCATCCAATACTTAATGTATTGAGAGATCATTTAGTCAAATTTCCAGATTACCCAGTTGAAAATATGTATAGCATAATTTGACAGCAAACTTTGTCTCTCAATACACCAGAGCAACTTTCTAAAATGGCTAAGGTTGTCAATGCAAGAAAGGCTGATAATGCATTTAAAAATGCCTTTGTTACCCAACACAAATCTACATATACGAATAAGGATCATTTAACTTTACTAACTAAGAAAGCAGACATATTTCTTCTTAAGGTATTTGAAGATGTTTATCAAAAATTGGGCCAAAGTTCTATCAAGCATATGAAAAACAACAAATATACTTTTCAACTGGCATCGTTAAATTTTGCCATAGATCAAAGACAAATGCCATTAGGATTTAGCAGCGATTACTTTTATCTTCCAACGCATATGATTATTGTTATAAGCAATTCGATGGGACAGGTAAAGGCTTCATGGTCATCACATGTAGTCACAGATACCATGAGAGCTGTTTTATTAATTCTTTAAATAAAAAATATAATTATTGTGAGAAATTTCTTAATCTTGGTGTTGATAAAAATGTTTTTTCTCTTTTTACACGATTAAGCAAATTAGATTCAAATTCGAATTTGGTAGAATCCCTTGAAGCTGACGAAACAAATAATCTAGAAAGTCAAATATTAGATGAAAATAATATATTAGAAAAGCTAGAAAAAAATAAGGATGCATTACCATTAGTAGAGCAAGCTTATGTCATAGCTCATGAGAGATTTTTGAGTTTGTAAATAAAAAGTTGTATGTGAATAAATAAAATAAATATTTTTAAATTAAAAAAATAATGCAAATAAATAAAAAAGTAAAAAACTTACTCAAATTGAATTATATTTATGTAGTTTAAAAATTGGATCTAGAAAATAAACTTAATAAATATTGTAAAAAAATTAATATGATCCCACAATTGAGAAGGTATTTCCGGTATAGAGTAAATCACAACTAAGTTGACTACTGTCTTGTGTCTTTAGTAGTCTCTAGTAATTGAAGAAAAAAAGAAAAAAAAAATGAATAAAAAAGAAAAAGAAGAGTAAAAAGAGTAAAAAATTAAGGTACTTTTCAAATAGTCACAGAACATAAATCTCGAATTTTTATTGGACAAGTCAGAACTGAGTCAGCACTGAGTCACAAATCTTGGATTTACGATTGTCCACTATGCTGTATACATTAGTACTATTTCGTTCTAGAGCTACCGGGTAATTAGTCCTTCTCTTTAAATAAATCTAAATGCACATTAAAGTGTATACTTTTTCTTTTCAGAAGGAATTTGTTTAGAGAAAAGTTAACTTTGGTTTGATTTTTTTTTTTTAAGTGATAAAATACATTATCGTTCAGCATTATTTAACATCATTCTTATACTTGAATAGGATGCGCATTGGGCTGGGCAAATGTAAGTTACAATGTAAGTTACACTGTAACCTACATCTAACAAATATAATATTTATATATAATTTTTTAAAATTTTCAATTTAAACATTTATTTAAATTTAAATAGTTTATTATTAAAATTTTTAGTAAAGTATTATAAATAATTTATAATATTTAAATAATTTAAAAGCATAAAAATTTTAATACTATTTAATAAACATAATTCTATATACAGTAATACTAATATAAAAAAAATCTTTATTTATCGCGCTTTTCAAGTTACTGTGCCAAGTGTTTTGCATATTAGTTTCCACTACTACTGAGCAGTTGATAGTTGAATGTAGAAATTACATAATATATATCTCAGATAAATTGCATGTAAAAGGTATGCCCAATAAAAGCAAGAATTAGTATAGATACTTTATTTTCATAAATGACTATATACAGTAAGACCTCCCGAAGTGCATACACTATATAAGTGCACGCCCTATTCTTTCTAAATGCATAGCATAGCTTAGTTCCAACTTATAAGAGCACTATATATTTTGTTCTTTATAAATGCACACACTTTTTAAGTGCATATCTTGTTTTTTTTTTTACTATGGTCCCGGAGGGAGTGCACTTATGGATGTCTTACTGTAGTTCTAGTAATTTTTATAATTCATAACTTACATTGTAACTTGCATAATCTAAAATGTAACTTACATTAAAATTTGATAACTTACACAAAATGCCCAACCCTAGATGCGCACCAGGCTAACCGCCGAGATCATGGGATTAAAATAATTTGAATGGTGTTTCCATGATACATAACTAGAACCTCTGGTAGTAAAATCGTACTATACGATAATCTGAAATATAATTATTTTAGCTAGAATATAAAATACCTTAGAGTATCACAAATTACTAGCCATAAGCAGTGTTAAAGATTTAATGTTCCCAGGAACATTAAAAAAATTTTAGGAGCACTAGATTTAAAATTTATGTTCCTTTTTAGGCACAAAGTGGGAGCATAAAAGTTATGTTCCTATAGAGAGAGAGAGAATATATATTTATTATTTTTATTATAGGAACATTAAAAATTTTTGAAGCATAAATTTAATAACTTATGTTCCCGAAGAACAAAAAAAAATTTCAAATCTTTTTCACTGAAAAAACGTATTATTACATCAGGAAAATTAAATAAGTGCAAATTTGCAAAAATCTGTATTTTTGCATATTTTGAAGAATTGTTATAAAAAATCTGCATAATTTTTTAAGATTTGAAGTTTTACACAGAATTGCATCTAATTTCTGTATTTATAGTATCAAATTTGAAATTTTACACAGATTTCATTTGATTTATTATTTAATTTTTTTGCAAATCTGCAAAAAAAAAAAATCCTGATTTATAAGGAAAACATAAGACTTTTTATACTTTACGTTTAGAACAAAAAAACAAAAAAAATCCTTTATGGCCTTCGAACATCAATCTACCGCAGCTGAAAACGAAAGCGATACCATAGAAGTTCGGTCGCTGAAGACTCCAATAACATAGAAAATGATGAAAGCAATGAAGTAAGTTCCAAAAATGATGAAACTTATGTTGAAAACAGCACTATTTTTGAAGGAACTATTGTCTTTGATGTAGAAAGTACTGTACTGCTGGCAGAAATGAAGCACCTATTGTAAATAATATTTTGTCTGGCTGCAAATTTCAAGACAAAAAAGATCCTATTCTCAATCAATATATAGGTGAAATAATTTTATCGTTAAAATAATCTTACTCTTGCCACAAACTTTTTTTTGTTGAATTTTTCGATGGAGTTTGTATTTTTGGCAAAACTTTCGTTTCTACTTGTACACACATATACGGCATAGAGTATTAATATTTACCTCCCATAAACTTAATATATTTTATTTTGTATTGAGATTTTTTGTTATGATAATTAATAAAACAAGTAACTGTTTTTTTATTCTTCCTGTAGATAGTGGCCTGGCATTCTGGTATAAGCAAGATAAGACTTGGGTGAATAAACACCCTTTTTACAATATAATATCAAAAACTTCTTTGTGGTGACTTCCATTTAATTGTACGATCCATGGGATAATTTGAACTTTCCTTGCCAACTTCTTTCATTTTAAATTAAAAGTAATTTTGGCTAAAAATATTTGTACGTATGTTTTATCTTTATTTTATTAATATTATACGTATAGTACATCATAGTTTAGATCAGAATAATTACGTGTGTATGATCAAAATAGTCTATCATATGTGCGTCAATTAGATGACTCACAATCAGTAGTCAAATTTTTCGCAATTTGGGGTATTTTACAAATCCGCCGTAATGCTGCTAATTTTTGATAATAAATGAATGAACTCCAATTCCTTCGTAATAATATTTGCCAAGTGCAAACATTCCCCTAACGTCCTCCATTTCTAAAGACTTTTTGTGATAAATGAATGCTTTATGCTAATCTTTTTCAACACGAATTCCACTCCGACAACAATATTCAACATTTAATGTTCCAGCTACATCACCCATTTTTGCAGATTTCCAATTTCATTTTGGCAACAATATCAACCGTATTTATTCCACTAGTGTGCCCATCTTTGTTGATTTTTGATAACAAATGAATGCCTTACATCATCCTTCCGATAACAATGTCCAACATTAAATATTCCATCGATATGCCTCATCTCTGCAAATTTTTGATAATAAATGAATGTCTTATGTTTATCCTTTCCAACCTATTTACCATAACGATAACAACTTGCAAGAATTATTTAGACAGTAGGAATTATTTGATCATTTAACCAAAATTTGATAATACTGTCTAGATATTGCTTCTTTTTATTAGAAATTGTTCTAATGTGTCAAGAATTGAACGGAGATTTTGTCTTCAATCTTTCATCACTATATAGATTTCTTTAACAATATCATTAATAGAATTGTGGGGAAAATTCCGGCAATTTGTTTTCAATTGGTAACATTGTTAGCTATTTGAGGAATATCTGATGAACAGCCGAACTTTCTGGTTGCTTTACAAATGGATTATTGTGAATTGACATTTTGGTGCAAGAAGAATGCATTTACTTATATCAAATTTATTGAAGATACAGCGCACTCCCATATAATTGGACCAATAAAAAATGCTCTTATATAGAGAAAGTGCATATATAGAGAATGTTATTTAATATATAGTTTGTAGATGATGCTTATATGAGACTGCGCAACGTTAACTTATATATCTTAATATGGAAGCTAAGTCCAGTGGACAAATTGAAAATTCATTCTGCAGGAAAAATTATCTTAGAGATCGCAGATTTTATTTTGTCATGTTATGCACCTTTCTGTAATTTGTGCTTACGAAAATTACCGCATATTGAAATAAAACTGGATTTTAAACAATTTATAATTTTATTCTATGTGGCAAGTATAAAAACTACGTGTAATTGCTTTGCTGTAACTGTTTTAGCTACGCACTATTTATACATATTAAATTTTTTTGTGCGGCATGTCGCACATCTATCAAAAAAGTGTGCAAATTTTTTGAATCTAAATGCTGCGCATTGCATACAGGTAGCGCAGTAAAATTTATTTAAATACTGTATTTAAGATTTAATTAAAGATCTCAAACTCGAATTTATTTACAAATAATTAAACAAAAAGTTGTTGCTTTTACATTAAACCACATTTCCATGTACATTTGCTACCCCATATACATCCATGTAATCTCACTTTATAATTTACCCTTTATTGAGGTCCGCATTTTCGCCAGGGGAACTTAATGTTGTTATCTTTCGGAGAATTTTATCACTTTGTTTTTCAGAATATTACGGTTTGTCTTTACCATTTTTAGCCAATTTTAGAATAGTTTCTCCTAACGATAATTATTTCGGTAACATTTAGAAATCTAATTCTTTCTATAATTAAGCCGAAAGTCTCGCTTCCTGAGCCACTTTAATCTAGTCTTGCGGTAGGTTATTCCACTCCACATTTCCAAGTGCCTACGCCACTGGTATTGCGGGGTCTCTTGAATGGTAGTAAAAGCAACTACTGATGTGGAACAATCTCGATTTTATACAGTTTATCAAGGCTATCAGAATTATGATAAATTCCATTTTGACTGTTCGTCATTCTTATTTCATGTGAATTATTAGAAAAATCAGAATTATCAGGAATAATCTTGATCAGATCATTACGAGCAAATTTTGTTTCTTGGGGAATTTTATCGTTAATATGTGAATTACCATAATTATAAATAATCTTATTCAAATCATCAAGGACGGTTTTTGTCTCTGGGCGATTCGTTGGTAGTTTATCCCAGCAACGTTTATAAAGTTCAACATAATTAGTCGGCATACAATCTATAGGAATTTCTCTTTTTCCTTGAAGTATTAAATTAATTATTTCATTCGGCGTGCTGTTTTCAAATGGCGGCCGTCCGCTTGAAATCTCCCAGAAAATGACGCCTAGACCATAAACATCAGTTTTCTTCGTGGGTTTGTATGAGAAATCACTTAGACTTTCAGGATCGATAAAAGCTGGTATTCCACATATTTGATCAACTGGATTGGTAATGTGACTAGAATGACCAAAATCTGCAATTTTCATATGTCCTTTATGAACCAATATATTTTTTGTATGCTGTAAAGTTTATGTATTTGTAGGTTACTTAAATAAATATATAAAGAACATTAAAGTACTTGCATATATTGACTTACAAGGTCTCGATGAATAATATTTTTCTTATGCAAAAACACAAGTCCTAGCGTTATTTCTCTAGCAAAATGTAATTTATCAAGAATTCCGAGCCTTGAAAACTTTTTTTTTAAATATTCTCGTAGATTTCCATTATCAGCAAATTGTAAGACCATACTATAACCGCCAGAAGGATCTGTTAATTATATATAAACCATCTTTGAATTAAATAACTGTAATAATATACGAAAAATGCCAATGATAATTGATAGCAATCGGGCTTGTAATTATAAACTCTCGAGATAATACCCATGGATGTAATTTCAAAAATAAGTAAAATTCACGAGCCATTATTTAAGAATTTATGGTAGCTTATAACGAATCATAAATGTATAGTAATAGAATATCCTGAGTCTTTGAGTAATGCCCGTGATCTTGATACAGTGATCATATGGTGATCGGGACATTATTGTTTTAATACAATAAGACTTCTCTAAATATAATTTCAAAATTTGTTCCAAAAATATACTTGACCTCTACAAAATGTACATTTACTTATTATTCTCTAAATACAAATTTAGAGAAATCTTACTGTATTTGATAAAGGATATTTTCCCAAAATGACACTCATACATATAGGATTTATTACAGCTGTTTCATAAATTGATGGAACAACCATACTACATTAATTGGATTTTACTATCCTTCGACAAATGTTTCTCGACAAGAATATATAAATTGTCAAGATAGCTTTATAAATTATAAAAGACCATCGATAGTTTTCGACAGGCTTATTATTAGTCCGATAATACACTAGCTTGCATCATACTAATAATGTATCAATGGCATTTCAGAAACAAAATTTACGATTATTGTTACTTACTTTGAGCTATACCATAAAATTCAATAATATTAGGGTGAAAGCTAAAATTTTTTAATTTTTTAAGAATTTCGAGCTTTCATATTGCGTGAAATAAATTATATTAATATAATTGTCATAAAATAAAATTAATATTTGCATTAAAAGATTGAACAATACCTCTCGAATAAACTCGGTGTTACTATCGGTTTTTAGACTTTTAAGGGCTACGTGACATTTAAAATCAGCCCACCAACATTTGTCCACTTTTCCAAATCCGCCTTGACCAATTTCTACAAAATTTGAAAATTCGACATAATTAATTTTAAATATAGGTTCGATTGCTTTTTCAATTGAGGAGTAATTCATTGTTTAAGTGTAAAATGAGAGGTTCTCCGGATTTAGGATATTTAAGATCCATGTTTTGCTGTACAATATTATGGATGAAGCACAAAATTCTTGATAGAAGGGAATACGTAACCAGGCGTAATACAGTTCCAAAATTGTATAAATATGTTGCGCTGGTTACAACTGTAACCATGGTTATCGGTTTAAAAGGGAACATTAATTTTTTCTCAAACCTCCACTTTATAAAATGATGTCAAATTCATTTGTTGCCCAGCTAGAAGAGGCTATCTCATGTCAAAACATTAATTTATTCGATTGCAACGAATTTTCAGATTTTGTAATGATTAGTAACAATATATTAAGAAAAGTGTATAAGTGTAAATGGAAAGACTGTGATTTTATGGTCGTTCTTAAAAGTTTAGACGCTAATAGCGACCTTCAAATTGTCCAAGAGGTACTTAATTCTTTAAGCAAAAACTTTATTCTTAAAGTATAAATATTCAAGTTTTTTTTTATTAATATAAAATATTTTAGTTAGAAAATTTGCAAAAAGTCAGCTTTCATCCTAATATTATTCGGGTTTATGGTGTAACTAAATGTAAGCGTCTAAAGTTTAAAGAATATTTTCTTGATACCATTTATGCAAATACGACTAATCTATATGTTTAAAATATTAAATCAGTGGCCGATGGGCATTATTATATGATATTGCAATATGCGAAGGACGGAAATTTACAACAATATTTAAGGAATAAATTTTTAAAACTCCAATGGCCTGACAAATTACGTATTGCAGAAGAAATAATACTGGGTCTAAAAATCTTGCATAAACATAATATTATTCATCGGGATATAGTAAGTAACCTAAATTTTTCTAGGTTAAAAGATTCAGCCCCGGAGATTCACAGGGTTGGGATGGCTCTGAAAAAAATTCCAATGGACATTGTCCATTGAGCCATTGTATTTGCTAAGCTACATTATGGTTCATTGACCAACCCTACCCGGAGATGACTATAAATCATAATTATTCTAGACGTAAATTATATGCTTAAAATCCGATTAACTATTTAATCTCCTTTTAAAAAACCTTTAACAGACATTGTTAATCTGAAATTAAGCATATTATGATTTAATTTAAAATAATAATAATTTGTAATATACATTTATTAATTTTTATAGCACACAGAAAATATATTGATAAACGAAGAGAATATGATGATTTCTTATTCGATTTCGAATCAGTCTATTGACAAAGTACACAATAAAACTTCCGGCAAAACTGCGATGGATATAGACACTGCAATGGATATAGACACTAAGCCAGAACATGCAATCCCTGTAATACCTTACGTAGCCCCTGAAGTTTTGCATACTAAAAAACATACATGTGAAGCAGATATATACTCACTCGGTGTTGTTTTATATGAAATAACAACGGGTTTAAATCCATACCATAACACTCTGCACGATATTCTAGAACTTTCGAATTCAACGCCAAAATTGATTTCACAAATTATTAGTCGTTGTTGGGATGCTGAGCCTTCTCGACGACCAAGTATAGAAGAATTATATGATCAATTAATTCAATTGCATTTCGCTATCGAAGGAAATGAAAAACCGACCGGTATGGGTTATCATGAAGGAATTAATGTCGAAGAGAATGAACATAAGGTATCCATTCATTTTCAAAAATCTGCTGATATGCCTCTTATTGCTCGAATAACTTCTAAGACGGAAGATTCTAATGCTATGTATTTAGCTGGCAATTGTTATCAGTCTGGAATTACAGTTGAGAAAGATGGGCGTAAAGCACTCATTTGTCATCAAAAATCTGCTGATATGGGTGATGTTAATATAATTGCCTATTCAATTTTATCTAATGTAAATGGCATCGATTTGCGTTTCACGCGATGCTACCGTGGTCTATATTATATTGAATTCAGAAATAATCGAGTCGTTTTTACTATTCCTACGGTGCAAAACATAAACCTAAATAACGGCAGGAGGGCTCCAAAAACTTGTTTCATTTTATTCCGTAATGCCATGCTGGATTGTGTCACGGCCCTTAACCTCCGAATCGAAAGACAGGATTTGTCTAAGCATGCGACCAACTTGTGGCATCAATTAAAGACTCAAGATATACAATTAGTAGATGAGTTTAAACGGGTGGCTCATATTGTCGCTCAGCAGTGTTATTCTGAAATAAAAACTATAAATGTTAATATTCCTGTTGCCGAAATAAAAACTATAAACGCTAATATTCCTGTTGCCGTTCACGCTCATCCGCCGATCCCGCCGTCGATCGATGACAACGATAACGAAGGCCTTCAAGAGCTCTTGGAAGATGTTTTCGCAGAAGTTCTTCCTCCTCCTTTTTTACATGATTAAAACAAATCTCCCTATTTTATTCATTCTTTTTTTATTATAAATAATTTTTTTTTTGCACATTCCTTTATATGATTTTACAGGCAAATTTTACCTGCAAATGATCAAAATTGTCTTTGATAGTACTACTTGAATAAATAATACTATATTTCCCCATAATCCCACTACCAGACAAACTACTGCTAAGAACTTTAGTCAATACCACTTTTACCTATTTCCAACAGCACCTCAATTTTATTTTTCTTTTAGCGTGGTGAAATAGGACCTCGGATAATATTAATTGAGGTGGGAGTTGAGTTAATAGTAAATTTATTTCAAATCGTGGTAATCTTGGTTTCGTAAAAAATTTCGAATATTATATATGTATTCTTTTATAACATTAGATAGTTATTTCGAAAAACTTTGTCCTTTTTTAGCACATATTCGATCCACTTAAAAAGCTTTTTAATATCATATCCTCTGATAATAATTTAAAATTTCTTATCCGGTTTAATAATCACACTTCTATTGGTATTGTCCGAGGTCCTGGTGAAATCACCCCAGTAATCAAAAAAAAAATCTTTTAATTTTATTTATCATAATTTTTTTACACATTCCTTTTTATGATTTACAGGCAAAGGCAAATTTTACCTGCAAATCTTTGATCAAAATTGTTTTTGATAGTACAACTTAAGCAAGTAATAATGCATTTCCTCCTATAATCCTATTACGGTGCAAACTACTTGCTAAGAGTTTTTAGCCAATACCAGTTTTAACTATTTTCAACAGCATTTCATCTTTTAGCGTGATGAGATCACTCCAGTAAAAGTCAAATAACGAGCTGTTACCGGGCGTGTCATTTATAATCGATTTAATTTTTGATATCCGACAATTCTAACGGCTCATCCATGACGTACTTTAACAGTAATAAATACGTACGATTATTGGATAAATCTTTGTAGGCAAATATACCTGGAAAAGTCTACCTTTAAAGGGATAGTCAAGATAGCCAGCTTAAATTATTACTGTATTATGTTTGTATTTATCAGTGTTGGGCAATCTATATATTCAGTGCTTTTTTACTGGACACTGGACATTTCCGAATTGTCCATTGTATGTCCAGTGTCCAGTGTTATAGTTGTAATAACGTTATAAAATATCGTTAATAAACTATGCTTTTCAAATTACCGAAACCCTGATGATTATTTAGGGTCTTTGCCTTGAAAATGACCTTACGGGACTATGTAGATTTTATGAATAAAAGTTAAAATTTCTAGCCATCTAATAATCCAACTCAAATAATATATTATAGAACCTCTATAAAATAAAAAAAGTCTATTTTGAATTGGATTACTGGATAGCTAGAAATTTTAATTTTTATTCATAAAATCTACATAGTCCCGTAAGGTCATTTTCAAGGCAAAGACCCCATTTATCACGAAGAAACCCGAAAACTTTAATGCTTGTTAAAATAAATCTTTTTTTTTTTTTTTTTAAGTCACAGTGATTTGAATGTTGTCGCTCAATTCCCGAAAGTTATTTCCTCGACAGGATAATAATATGAATTCCGTTGAACCTATTTTAAAGTTATTAGAAAAAAAATTAATCCGTTTCTTTATAAAGCCGCGTTTTATAGCAGAAAAATATTCCACTCCATATATATATATATATATATATATTTACCGCTTTTTCAAGAAAATGGTACAGAAAAATTTATAATGCAAAATTTTTTCCACACAAATACTTTGTAAACGAGTAAAATGCTACAGACCCTGAATTGTTTATTTTTAATGTTTATTAGTGTCTTAATGGAATTCCCTCTTTAAATTTAATTTCTTTAATCATTGTAAAATGAACTTAGGCACGTGGTTTAAGCAAAATACTACCTTGAAGTAGTAAACCATTGTGTCAAGTTTGCTACCAATCATAGGCAAATACAGAAAAATGTTCAGGCTTTTCCAAATGTAAAGTTCTGGGGCAATAAACACCGGTGCCTTAATTTCATGTGTATCAAGAAGGTGCTCTCGTTTTAAATATGTCATTTTTTATCTACATGATTATGAACATGTAATTGAGAGAAATGCTGATGTAGTAACACATAATCTAATTCTACCATACCGGGAAAATGAGAGATTTTTGCTTGTAATTAGATAATGACGAAATAGCGACGAGACATATATAATAATGACGAAATACTAATATACAGATCAGATAATGACAAATACTAATAACAATAAATATACATTAGTACTATTTCGTTCTGGAGCTACCAGGTAATAATCCTTCTCTTTAAATAGATTCTCCCTAAATGCACACTGAAGTGTACACTTTTTTCCTTCCAAAAGGAATTTGTTTAAAGAAAAGTTAACTTTGTTTTGATTTTTTTTTTTTTTTTTAATAGCAAAATATATTATCGTTCAGCATTGTATAACATCATTCTTATCCTTGAATAGGATGCGCACCAGGCCAGGCTAACTGCCGAGATCATGGGATTAAAATAATTTTAATGGTGTTTCCATAATACATAACTAGAACCTCTGGTAGAAAAATCGTACTATTATACGATAATCTGAAATATAATTAGTTTAGCTAGAATATACAAATACCTTAGAGTATCACAAATTACTAGTCATAAGCACAAATGAATTGAGATTGTTGGATCAAGAGGCTCTTCTTTTTCAACTGTTTTTTTTTTTATGGAAAACACTCAAAAAAATCATAAAAACACAGGAAAACATAAGACTTTTAATACTTTACATTTAGAACAAAAAACAAAAACAAAAAAAAATTCTTTATGGCCTTCGAACACCAATCTTCCGCAACTGAAAACGAAAGCGAAAGCGAAACCAACGAGGGAAGTTCGGTCGCTGAAGACTCCAATAACATAGAAAATGATGAAAGCAATGAAGTAAGTTCCAATAATGTCAAAAATGATGAAACTTATGTTGGAAACAGCACTATCTTTGCAGGAACTATTGTCATTGAAATAGAAGGTAATGCTGGCAGAAATGAAGCACCTATTGTAAATAATATTTTGTCTAGCTACAAATTTCAAGACAAAAAGGATCCTATTCTCAATCAATATATAGGTGAAATAATTTCATCGTTAAAATAATCTTGCTCTTGCCACAAACTTTTTTTTGTTGAATTTTCATGGAGTTTGTATTTTTGGCAAAACTTTCGTTTCTATATTTTACCTCCCATAAACTTAATATAGTAATCAGGAATTATTATATTTATTACTGAAGGAACATTATTGCCATTCTAGAGAATTTTTATTTTAATATTGCATGAATTATCCCTTAAATTGTAACACAGGCAAATTTGCCTGCGAAGATTTTTACTAATTTTTTTAATATTTAAATTTTTT